TAACTGATGTTAAATCTAAAAGTATGTTTCTTCTTAATATCAAATAAACCACCTTCATAATGTTTTTATTTCTTTTTAATTTGTAGCTTCGGGCGCTTTAACAAAACTAACACAAGGGCTGCGAGATGAATCAATGGCATATATTTATCATTGCCAAAATCATTATTTTTGTCCAATTGGATTTGAAGCAACTCCAATAAAACCGAGCAAAGCATATAAGTAAGACCCTCATAATCTACTTGATATCACAAATGGTAGCAACACAGCTGCAATCATCTTATAAAAAGCTAACCTTTAATTGCTCATATTAACATTATAACTTTATTAGCAAACATGAGATGTAGGATCATGTAGTATACCTATGTGGGTTGGTTTATCTGCATTAACAATCACTAGGTGGCAATATTTTTCCAGATATAGTTCTGTAAAACAGGAGGAATATTAACTTAGATTGCAAATCTTGTTCTAGAAGAAGAACTTTCTCTGATTTCTCTGGATAAACCTATGTAAATTGTTTTGTCGCCAGACAAGTCTGAAAGAACATTTTGAATGCAATTTAAATGTCTTTAAACAAATGTATAGAATATCATTAGATGAAAAATGAGTTTCTATGATAAATGCATTGATTTCTTCCTTTAATCTGAGCTGTGTTCTAAGTGTCTACTCATCTTGTATTTGGTATCAGTTTTCTTTCTTTTATTTGGAAGGATGGCCTTTAAAAATCTTCATTAAGAATCTTTGAGTTTTATTTTTTTAACTGAAATGTGCATGCAAGTTTTATTTATTTATTTTTTCATTAGGTGAATTGGTGCAATTTCATTAGTTTGACTTCAGCTAAAAACACAGATGTGTTGATTTGGAGGAACCCACATATGTAGGAATTGCCATTCTTTCCTTAAAAATACATATGAATGAGATTGTACATTCCCTTTTATCTCTAAGTGCATTTAAAGGGGCAGAAAACAGTGTTTATACAAAGATTATAAAGCATTGCATTGTATGTATGTTTTTTTGCATTGATACTAAAATAAAAGATTAGCTCCAATTCATTGCAGGAAATTAGGGACGTGGAAGGAACTTAAAAGCCATTGAATCCAGCCTGCTGCCTTATGGCAGAAACAGCTACAGCCATCTTTCTGAGTAGGAGTAAAGATGAATTCTAGAGCAGAGGTCTTGCCCTGTGTGCAGAAATATTTAGAGAAGGGATGCATTTGCTGAAAAATAGTCAACTTTTAGAAGAATGCATTTGTTATTTTAATTAACATGCAAATAACATGTTCTCTGTGGATACAGAGTAGTTTGAAATAAGTTTGCAAATACTTCCTATATTACGAAACACTAGGATCAGTGGATATTTTTGCCTCTTCTTAAGATGAGGTTGATCGTCATTAAATGCATATCTTTTAGTCATGCTTAATATTATAAATTTATGTAACCGTACAACAGTTAATTATTCATTTTGGCCAGCGACAACTTAGATTGCTTGTTTATAAAGCTGCTGACTATGATAAACATTTTGTTTATCATTTTTGGGCACCAGAGGACGTCTCTTACAGCAAGATGTGGAATCCTGGATACTCATTGGGGAGCCAAGCAGAAAACACCCCACTATTCACTGCAAAAAGTAAGTGAACTTAAAAAGATCACATAATATTTAAGAAATTCAGATACAGAGCATTCTGTAAGCATCCACATACACTTACATGAACACCGATCCCTAGATGAATAAACCTAAGTGTAGGACACGAATTCCTAAACAGGTGTTGGTGTCTTCCAGTGCAACATAAAAAAGTTCTATGCTGAAACTTCGAAATTTGCATGTTCTAGCTGAGATTTCTTTTCTAGAGAGCTAATACTTTATCCACCTCCCCAAAGGAGTGCTGTTCTGGCGTGCTGCTTCTTAGTACCGGAAGTATCGAGAATCAAACTTTGAGCGGGGTAAAAATCAGTGTTTCGAAAACTAACTCTATTTAAAAAAAAAAAAGAATCTTCCCATTCAGGATATATTTACATTGGGGATGGAAGAAAATGGACATTCATCTTAGGTGCTAATGAAATAATGTAGTTTGTTGATATTTGAACACAGTTCTTCGTATTTGCTTTTGGATATATAGCTAGATTCAATGTTGAACCTCACTTCCCAGATTTGCATTGTTAATATTAATGAATTAACTGAGACCATTCCTAGAGATATCAGATCTTCAGAAAGTAGACCATAGCCCATTCTTAATAAACTGGATCAATGTGGGAAGGATGACCCCGCTATCGGATGGATTCGCATTGGCTGAACCATAGCCAATACATTGTGCTTAATGGGTCTGTGTCGACATGGAGGGAGTACACAGTGGAGTACCTCAAGGTTCTGCCCTGGGCCTAGTACTCTTCAATATCTTCATAAATGACTTAGATGAAGGAATAGAAGGGTTTGAGATGGGCAGCCATGTAAAATAAAATAAGCGCATACATACATAGTTACATACTAACGGGTAGAAGTTTAAGTTAAATAATAATTTCCTGACTCTGAGAGCTATTAAGCAGTGGATCAGCCTGCCTCCTGAAGTCATGAGTGTGCCATCGCTGGAGGTTTTCAAGAAAAGACCGGACAGCCATTTGTCCAGAATGGTATGAAGATTCCTGAACTGGGCAGGGGGTTGGACCAGATGGCCTCCAACATACGTTCCAACCTTATGATTCTGTGAAATCTGCTAGCAGTAACACATGCCTCAGTAATTACATCCCACTGTACCTGTGCAACATGTTCTTTGTGAAGATACTGATACTGTCTAGGCAATTTTACCCCAGTGGATTGTGAATGAAAAAATAATGAAGAAGCTAAGAGAAGAGGCTAAGTATTATTTGCCTTTTTTGTTAAGAAAACATATTTGCTAGCTGCCATTGAATAAAACAGTAGTATTAATAAGGATCTATTTAGAAAACTTCTTTGCAGCCTTATTTAGATTGACCTGAAAAATACTTAGATATCAGGTGTCCCTGGGGCTGCTTATAAGAAGTAATTAAAAACATCAGGTGGTCCAGAAAAAAGTATTTACTGGTCCAGCAGAATATTTACTGATTGGAGCTAATATGTGAAGCACGAGACAGTTAACATGACTTCACAGATTACCACTCCATTTCTGGACACAGTTCAGAACAGGTTTGAGGTGTAAACTGTACATGATTTTAAACCAGACTTCTAAAAATCGTATTCTTGCTTATGAATGTGCCTGGCCTTTAAGATCTTTGAGAAGGATCCTTCTGGGTTCCTATCAAGATCAGAAGCATATTTGATGGGAATGTATGAATGGAAGCGTTTGCATCTCCTTGGAGGCTTTGGAACTCCTTCAGATTAGATATCGGTATTAACTTTTCTCATGCTTTTCTTACACAAAGCTAAAATATGAAGTAAGAAATTGGTGAAAGAGAGAGGAGAGGAGGAAAAGGATAGTAAAGTGGCATTATGTGTACCTGCTAAATGAATCAAAGGACTAATACCCTTGCCCTTGATTTCAGGAAAAATGTCAGCATTTGCTACGTATTGTACAGGAGAGTATACTTAAGTCTGAATTCTTGTCTATCTAGGATTCAGAGAAAAACTAGTAAGCATGATAGTCTAGATTTTTGTTGCATTTGTGAACTTCTTTCCATCTTATTGTGTAGGTGGGCAGATATTGTAACAGACTTAAACACTCAGAATCCTGAATACCTAGATATTAGGCACTTGGAAAGGGGTCTTCAATATCGGAAGACAAAGAAGGTAAGAATGCTTCATATTAAAGCACGGCTGCATGTTTGACATGAGGTAGCATTTATGGAATGCATTCAGATATTCTGTCATTATTGTAACTATGGAAAGATTATTTTGCATTGGCAAAATATGTTTCCACTTTGTAAAAACAGAAATGGCTTCATTAGTCTGTTCCTCCCTCTGTTTCAAACTAGCATGCTATATTCTTTTGAGCAGAACAAGAATAAATTGCTGTGATCTAGTTATATGAAAATTTAGTTTCTTCTGCTAAGGCACTGCCACCTTTGGATACAGACCCACATCAGGGCATGTTTAGGCATTATCCTTGCATGGCTATGGCAGGTTTGCTGCTCTCAATCCAAAATAAGATTTTAGCTCCTCAAATTCACTATGATGGATGGATGGATTGATTGATTATGTGCCATCAAGTCATTTTCAACTCCTAGCGATCACATAGATAGATTTTCTCCATGACAATTTATCCCTAAACTGGTCTTTCAGGTCTTCCAACAGTGCACTCATCACCACGGTAACCGAGTCCATCCACCTTGCTGCTGGTCATCCTCTTCTTCTCTTTCCTTCCACCTTTCCCAGAATTATAGCCTTTTCCAGAGAGCTGGGTCTTCACGTAATGTGTCCAAAGTAGGATAATTTGAGCCTGTTCATTTGTGCATTGAATGAGAACTCTGGGTTGATTTGTTCAATGATTCTTTGGTTGTCCACAATATTGTCAGGAATCTTCTCCAACACCTATGATATGGCAATATAATAAACAAATGCAGAGTTGTTATTCCAAAAAGTTGGCTGGACAACTTGAAATCTCTCTCTAGCAATTTCCAAACCTTCATCTCTTTCTGTACAAAGAGTATATTCAAGGGCTGCATTTTGAAAATATTTTCACTAGATTTTCAAATAACTAGAACTCCTCATCAATGGATGAGGAGAATGATGTAGCAGTTGCCCTGCGTGGACAGAAAAAGTTTGGCACAAAAATCTGAAATGGGAATGGGGAATTACAGGTAGCCATGCTAATTAAATGTTTAACTCGAACATTTAATTAGAATAATTAAATAGAATAATTTTTTATTGTAACCACAGATTTTAATCAGTAAAACCATCTAACCCAGTGTAAAATACAAAGAAAAGAATAATTCAAATGGATAGCGACCTTAGCTCTTAATATATTGACAGAGAAGTATTGTTGTTTTAATAAACATTGTCTTTCATTTTAGGTAGGGGGGAATCTACATTGTATCATTGCTCTGCAGAGGTTTAATTGGCATCGGTTTGGTCCTTGGAACTTTCCATTTGGAAACGTTCAGCAAGAACTTCAGCCCCCATCTCCAGCTCAGGGCTTAGCCAAATCTGAGAGTGAAGACAACATCTCCAAGAAGCAACGTGGGCGCCTTGGAAGATCATTCAGTGCTAACTTCCATCAAGTTTCTGTTTGGAGGAAGCTGTCTCATCTTCACGAAAGGCGGAATAGTGGCCTTCAACGTTATACCGACTGTGATGGGAAAGACTAAAAGGGAACACTTTTTCAACTGTGCTACTGTAATACATTCCTAAAGCATAGTAATAACTTACTATGCACAGAGAAAAGAATGGAGAGAAATTTCATATAAAACACAATCTTAGGAATGTTTGTTGCATTAAGTATGTAATTGGTATATAATACTAATATGTTGTAATAGTTATATATTGGAAATAACAAGAATAGTTAATAAAAAGATAAGCACAGAACACCGGGCACTGGCAATCTAGTATAATTACTAATTGATTTATGTTTCAGACCATGAAATCAGAACAGATGTAGATCAAAACATTTGTGGACAGGAGAGTCTGTTATTAGGTGATACAGATTATAGTCAAAGCATGAGATTATCATCTTCGAAAATGATTAATTAATCGCAAACTATATAATGACGACAAATGTATAAAGTATATTTGCTTTTAAATATTTTCAAAAATGCAATAAGGACATCCTGGTACAATTCAAAACTGACAAAATACTAAATGTCAATATATAATTAATTGATGGTCTGTTTAGCAGTGGAAATCTTGTTCTATACAACTTAAACTGTTTGAGTCGGCAGTTTGTAGTTACAGGCAAGAAACCTATGAAATCTAATGGAAAGATAAGGTAACTGCCTGTTTCTTTTAGAAGTGGTGCAGTAAAGACCAAAACCACCACTGCCAGTCATATACTTCTGTAGCAACTTTTTGTGTGACCTGAATTCACTTCTCAGTTGATTGACTGCTTTTAAAGAAACCTCTCACGCATTTCATATGGCTATCCAGTGAATACCAAAACTTTCCTTCTTGGGCTGCAGTCAGTTCTTGTAATATTTTAATTCTCTTTCACTTTACAACTTTAATTGTTGAGGAAGATGTTTAAGTGCCCAAATAAACTGGCAGCCACAGCGATATACCTCTTCAGCCAGAGCACTGTTTGTATTTTTTTCAAATGATCATATCAAGTAGTTTAATTTGGAAGTATAATATTGGTTCTCATGGAGAAAAAAATGTTTTAATAAAAAAGATCTTGATCCATTGATTACCTTCTCATTCTTTAAATTTGTAGGTCTGTCTTTTGGATACGAAAAACTGGAGACTATTAAAAAGGGGGGGGGATTTTATCCAAGTTTTGGGCAATCTTTTATCTATGCTTGTAGAAACTTGGTACTAAAAATCAGTTGTTCACATCCCTCTGTAAGATAACAAGATTTTCCCCTGGGAAACTAGTTGGCCCAAATGTGGGGGAGGGGGAATCAGTCATTTCTAATTTATTTCAATCACAGATCAGAATTTTCTACTTCCCAAAATCACAAAGGAACCAAACCCTGGTTTTGGGGTGTGTTCATCAACAAACCATTTTGTTCATCCTAGGCATTTCTGATCATTTGTGAGATATCCCTATAGCAACAGGAAAACATGCAATGTTCTTATAATCTGCAGCATGAGTCGAAAAGCAGGAAGAAGGTACAATCTTCCTTTATTCTACATCTTATTTGGAAGGGTAATGAGGGCTGTGTGAAGACTGGCACAAAAGAGGTAGCAAAACACATGTGCATTATTGACTTAATTCCTCCAGCTCCACAAAGATAGACTCATTCAGATTTGGGAATGGTGCCATATTTTCCTTCCTAACACATTGAATTGAGCAGTGAACTGAGCCAAAGATAAAACTTTTTAATGCAGGATATAAGATCAGAGTCTTTTGTAGTCTCTTTTGTAACTTAAGGTTTATGCCTGAGCAAATCTTTTCCATAATCTGCATGAAGGAGAAAGTTAACCTTCAGTTACTGACAGTATTCATCTGAGAGTTCATTCCTAATTGAACCCACATATTTTCATGATGATAAAAATGGTATAGCTAAAGTCAGTGAAAACAAGCTGTACCAACATTTTCTGTTGCCTATTTTCAAACAGGTTTTGGGCCAAAGTGAACCATGTCAGATGACTTATGTGTTCTGCACAATCCACTGTAAATCTGAGAATATGCCAGTCCAAATTGTACCTGTTACAATGTGCATAATTCCCAAACACCTTGTACACTGCATTCAGTTGTTGTCAGATGTTGAATTTTTAAACGAGTTTAAAATATCTGAAGAATGCTCACATATGCTCACAATTTTGTGCTGATAAATTCCTGACAATCTCAGTATACTTGTGCTCATTAACTATTCTGTGGCTTCAAGATTTTTTAGAGATACAGTTGTAATCTCCATCAAGAATGTTTGTGATTATCTTGTTAACATTTTGAAGATGAAATGGCTATCAAGCATATTTTTACCAAAAAGGGTCTGTCTCCACTCTCATATTTGTTTTTAATTTCTACATCTTACTGGTAAAAGAGTTGTATAGAAGGCTTGCAGACCATATGCTATGTGATAATAGATAATACAATCTCTGAATGTAGGCCAAATTTTTTAGTCTTTATGTTAGCCAAGAGCAACAGTTGTTGGAGCAACATAAATGCTGGCAGAGCAAGTTGCCTGTGGAACACATCACAGAAGTAAAGCAAAATTTTGTAACACTATTAGCCGCCCAGAGTCATGAACCTGAGAAGGGTGGCCATATAAATTGAAATAGTCAATCAAATATTTAGAATAGAAAGTTTCAAAAATATATAAAATACAGTGAAAGTTAACTTTCACTTGAGGTTTTCAAATGGAGACTGGATAGTCATGTCTTGGGGATGGTGTAGTGAATCCCGCAATGTGTAGGGGGTTGGAGTTGATGACCTCCCAGATCCCTTCTAATTCTATGATTCTATGGTTCTAAGACATTTCTTTTAAAAAAAAAATTTAAAAGTGGGAGGGGGGAAAAACATTAAATAACAATGTATCACTTATTCATTGACCAACATAATCACAGAAATAAATCAAAATCCTCTATCAATTTTAGAACATAGCCCAAAGATAATGAAGTACTACTGCTGTAACTGATCTTTTTCCCATAAAAATGTGAAAGATATCCAGTATTAACCAAAATACTGCCTATTGTCCCTGCTTCCCTTTCCCAAAGCTGCTTATTGTAAATTTAATCATGAACATAATATTCTGAACTTTGAGAATAATTTGTTTGTTTTCCATGCTTGTGGCAAAGAGAGATAGAAAAGTTTTTCCCTACTTACCTTTTCATACCGTCTAACAAGATACCGAAAAGATGTAAGCAGTTTTCATACTCAGCAATATTTTTATTGTTCTGGGGATTGTTTCAGGTTGTCAGCAGTAGAGGAGCTGGGAGTTCATTTTCCCCATTCAATCTAGTAAGTACGTTAGACCTAATCCTAATTCACTTCTTAATCCCATTTATATTTTAGAAGCTGGGGAGTTTTGCTCAGTAACCAATGGGTAGCATTAGTATCACGTTAGCCACATGGTGGAGCCATCTGTAGTTTCTCATTTTATCTCTACTTTCAGGGTTCCTCAACCTCAGCAACTTTAAGATGGGTGGACTTCAACTCCCAGAATTCCCCAGCCAGCATGTTGCCGAGGTTGAGGAACCCTGTCTACTTTAGTAGTGCCACCAACAGCTTGGCAATTAGATGCTGCTCCTGACGTGGCTAGGTTTCATCCTATACAACAAGCAGCCAGCGTGCTGCAAGTGTAATACTTCTTTGAATTGCTCTCTTTACATTTCCCACTCCAACAAGAGATCCAAGGCAGGTAGGGCATATCTCACTTTCACTTCCCAGCATTGTCAGTCACTTCTTTTCTTGAAAGATGACGCATTTGGAGTTGGCAGGTGGCTAATCACTCTCCCTCATTCTCCAGTTTTGATCCTGCTTTTCCAGTAAAGCGAGGGAGGGGACATTTGAGAAATTCTGCTCATCTAGAGAAAGGAAGTTATAGGGCCTGGAAACTTGAGTTTGATGCCTGTGTGCTGAATTTCCTGTTTGCTTTTCAAGCGCTCTCTGCAGGGAGAGGAAGATGACTCGGCTGCCTTGCCCAGGGAGATAGTGACCGATGCTCAGGAGAGACTCCAAACAAAGACCAGATAGCAGGAACAGACTCCTGAATCAACATTCCCGGTAGAAGCCCTTCCCTTCTCCTTGATTGCATCCCCGTGTGCAGAATGCCTGACGCTGCTGCAAGAGGCGATTATTATCTTGGGGCAGACCAGATCAGCAAACATACCTCCTCCACCCCAGTGAGGAGAGGAAAGCCAGCAGATTGTCTTGCCCAGAAAGTTTGTGAGTGATTGCGCTGTCTCACCTTGCCGCCTGCCTGTTAATTTAGGGTTAAACTCCAGAAAGATGCTAGATGAAAACTACACAATCCTAGTTCTTTGAAAATCCTGAATCCTTGGTTACTATGCTCAGCAGAAGCTCTACATCAGCTTTCTGGAGCTGATGCCTTGAAGGGTTACTGTTCTAAGGGAAGTCACCTTAGGTGTGAAAAGCAATGAGATCAACACCTACAATTTATGTACTTGCAAGTGTGCATTGGCATACCTGCTCTTCCATCTTTTGTGCTGAATGGAAAGCCTATGCTGCTGTAGTCATAGAGGCAAAATAATTATTATGCTAGCCTTATATCTGTTGGAGAATCAATTGAGTGTTTTATAGTGTGTGTGTATTGGGGGAAGAGAGCTGGATGGTCAAGGACCTGCCACGTTCTAGCTAACTGCAGATAAATAATTGCTCATATTCACATTAAAATGGAAACTATGGTTGTTATAGTAAGGACAGACATAACTTTGGTGTCTTCTTGTAAAATGTGTGTGTATGTATGTATGTATGTATGTATGATAGTTAATATTACCTGAACACATTTTAGGTACTGGTGTGAGCTGAGTAATTATCAATACCATGGTTGTTGTGTTGGAAGGAAATCTTACCAATAGAAGAGAATATATGTAGTTTAGGGTTGAACTGTGGAGTCCTTGGGGTTCTCTGAGCTTGATTGTTTTCTTCAATGTGTGTGTATGTATGTATGTATGATAGTTAATATTACCTGAACACATTTTAGGTACTGGTGTGAGCTGAGTAATTATCAATACCATGGTTGTTGTGTTGGAAGGAAATCTTACCAATAGAAGAGAATATATGTAGTTTAGGGTTGAACTGTGGAGTCCTTGGGGTTCTCTGAGCTTGATTGTTTTCTTCCAAACGTTTCATTACCCGGTTAGGTAACATCTTCAGTGCTAGTATGGAGTGGTTTGCTCTCTGTTTATATACAGTGGCTTGCCCTGCCAATGTTGGTGGGGGTGTGTGTCCCCCCCAGGTTCCTTGATTAGGGTATGGTTTACAGCTTGATTGTATGTCTGGTGATTATCTTGGTGTTAATCTCTGCTTATCTGGGTGATGATTGCTGGTGAGGAGGTGTTCTGCTCTTTTGTTTCCTACTGGCAGGGCAAGCCACAGTATATAAACAGAGAGCAAACCCCACTCCATACTAGCACTGAAGATGTTACCGAGCTAGGTAACAAAACATTTGCAAGAAAACAATCAAGCTCGGAGAACCCCAAGGACTCCACAAATCTTACCAAGTTTGTTTCTGAGCTGGGAATAAAATGCACAGGCAGTTGCTTGAAACAGATGGAAAAGTTTATTTTTGACAGCACAGCACACAGAATCGGGTCTTGTAGGTAGCCACGAGCAAGAATTCCCAAAGAGCCCTTTATATAGGGAAACCTTGCCTTTGTTTCTTGAATTTATTTATTTATTTATCGTATGGCACATTCACATCACGATTCAGTAGAATAAAAACACAAGAGATGTTTCTTGAAAAAGCCGGCGAAGAGAGAGCCTAGAAGTTCTTAAAAAGTGTAATTAGCTGGACTTCCAAGAGGGGGCGCTCTGAGGTCAGGCACCCCACTGAGCTGGTTTCCTCTAATCAGGCATCCTGTGTTTGCCTGTCTAGCACTGCCTGACTGGTATGCAGATCTTTTCGGGGAAAAGATCTTTTGTTATTTGATTAAGGTTTCGGTTAAGTTCAAAGAATGTTAGCTCTTCCTGCCAGCTCTTTTGTTATTTGATTAGGGGGATCTTTTTGGTGTCTTTAGGTTCAAGGAATCTTGACTCTTCCTGCCACATTTTAATCTTTTGGGTGAGCCATTCTACCTGTAAATTTTACCTTGCTTGCTGTGGAAAGATTGAATGGGAGGGTGAGACAGGTGGGAAGGTCTGGCTTCCTGCTCTCATGGAGGAAAAGTTGGATTTCCTTCTTATGGTTGGATTATGGGGTTCCATAAATTTCCATCTGATCTCTTATATAAGTTGTTGGCAGAGATTGTCTGGAGTTCCATACCTTGATGAGGTCCAATTCTCTTTCCTTTTCATACAAATGCAATGAAGCTGCGGTAAGTCAGTATTTGATGTTAATAATGGATTACTGTAGATGAAGCGAAAAACACTCCAGACAAAATGGAAGTGTTTATGATCAGTCAAAGTCCTGGTATTTGTGGTATCCAATATGTGTTGGATGGTATTATACTCCCTTGAAAGATTCATGTTCAATTTGGATGTGTTCCTTGCGAGGGAATGAAGCTGGGGTAGCTGTCTGGATTTGGGAAAAGCAGCTGCAGCCCGGCAGAAACAATTCCTCCCCCCCTCCTTCCCCAAAGCTAAGCTCATGCTTTCTCTCAAAGGGCTGTAGAAGTTTACAGCCTCAGAAACTTGAGAGATGGGCTCATTCATTCATTCATCCCCCACACAGTTTACTCACAAGCATCCACGCCCACGTTCTGGTGTCTGGCTAATTGAGCCACACACTTGCATTTTTAGGAACCAGCCAATGTCCATAGGCAGCCTCACGCCACCCAAGCCTTTAGCCTGCAAAAGTGTGGGTGTGTAGAAGGAAAAGTTAAGGATCAGAAGACACCAAGCAGACGAGGAAGCAGGAAGTGACGTCTGGGGATTTACAACTTATTACAGCAGTGTTGTCCAAACTTGGCCACTTTGAGATGAGTGGACTTGAAGTCCACTCATCTTAAAGTGGCCAAGTTTGGACAACACTGTATTACAGGCAAGCAAGAGAATGATCAGTCAATTGCCAGGACCACAAGCTATGGTAAGCAGCCTGCTGTGGTGCAATTCCTGCCTGGAGCTTGGCTTGGAGCTTGGCAGCAACCAGAAGAGGAGCAACGATGCTAATCCCAACAAGTGCAAGAACTTTTGGAGGAAGGCAAAGATTGTATATCAATTTACAAACTTTAAAACTTGTATTTGTTATAAGGGCTAACCATCAAAGACTTATTTATGTGGCTACATTGACCTGAAAAGCCTAGGAGGGTGGAGTTAACCCAGGGCAAGAGCCTATTGTTAGGCAGGTATGGGTTACAATAAAGCATTGTGTACAGTTATCTTCTACAAGGAGCCCTCATGCTCCTGCACTGTTTTAACATGAATGTCCAAATTCCATATGTTGCCAGGAATGCATTAGCACAGTTGACACTAGAGTACCAAATAAGCTTTTTCCAGTCTGACATAAGCTTTGGTTTCATCCTGCTTGGATTAAAACAATGTGTCCTATATGGGACTGCCTTTAAAAGTATTCAGAAACTTTAGCTGATCCAGAGTTCTGAGGGCAGACTTTTAACTAGGGCTTTTAAATATGTTATATTCATTACAGCCAAGCAAAAACATTTTAACAGATGTGCTGATCAATGCGAAGGAGCACATATAATATACCTCTTTGCTAATTGTTAGAATGGCTGCATTATTTGCAAGGAACATCTGGGCTCTTCTGCTTTTGGTGAAGCAAAGTGGCTGTGCATGAACATACCTCCGGAGCAGCTTCCAAAATAACTGCATGAGCCTGGAAAAAGAAGCAGCTGCTTTAAAAATTGGGGATGAAAAAAACTGCTGTGCATATGTTCCTCCTGCATGATATGAAACATTTATTTCAAAGGCTTTGCGGTCTTCCTAAAGCTACATCATTCTGTAGTTTTCCTGGCAACAATGTAGAAGTGGCCTGCTACTGCTTTATTATGGGATTTCCCTCCCATTTCTCAGTCTAGCCTATAGTCTTGGTATTCCCTGGCAGTCTCCCATCCAAGTATTAACCTGTAGAAGAAATAAGGAATTTCTTCTTTGAAGGAGAGAAGGAAAAGACACTACCAAGGCAACAGAGGCTTGAGTCCTTTCCAATGAACTACATCCCAGACAAACCCCTCCCTAGTTCACATAAAGATAAAAGGAGGGAGGGGAAAAGTACATTCAGACTTTCAAGATTCTGTAACTATAGCAGTTGCAGTAAAAGTAGTTTTAGAGTCATATGGCACTGATTTCTTGGTCTAGTCATAAATGGGTACTCTCACTCTGGTGAGAGGAAAAATGCTGGCGGCGCCTTGCAAAAAAGGAGTTGGGAGCAGTTGCCGGTAAGTGCGAAAACCTGCGCGCGCCAAAAAAGGGGGC